TTAAAATAAATGGATCTACAAGAGGAAGACGGACACTGATAGTAGTGTTACTATCTACTAAGCTCGACTTGTTGCGAAAGGTTTTCGACAAGTTCAAGATGTTGAATACGATCAGATTTTCTCACTCGTATCGATACTTAAGTCTGTCCGAATCATGTTAGCAATTGCCACATTTTATGAAATCTGGCAAATGGATTTCAAAACTGCATTCCTTAATGGATTTTTAAAGAAGAGTTGTATATGATACAACAAGAAGGTTTTGTTAATCCTAAAGGTGCTAACAAAATGTGCAAGCTCCAGCGATCCATCAATGGACTAGTGCAAGCATCTCGGAGTTGGAATATACGCTTTGATGAGTTGATCAAAGTATATGGTTTTATACAGACTTTTGGAAAGGCCTGTATTTACAAGAAAGTGTGTGGGAGCACTACAACCTTTCTGATAAGTATATGTGAATGACATATTATTAATTGGAAATGATGTAGAATTTTCTGGAAAGCATAAAGGAGTGTTTGAAAGGAGTTTTTCAAAGAAAGACCTCGGTGAAGCTGCTTACACATTGAGCATCAAGATCTATATAGATAGATCAAGACGCTTGATAAGTTTTTTAATGAGTACATACCTGGATAAGATTTTGAAGTAGTTCAAAATGGAACAGTCAAAGAAGGAGTTCTTGTCTGTGTTGCAAGGTGTGAAATTGAGTAAGACTCAAATCCCGACCACGACAGAAAATAGAAAGAGAATGAAAAGTCATTCCCTATGCGTCAGTCATAGGTTCTATAAAGTATGCTATGCTGTGTACCAGACCTATTATATACTTTGCTCTGAGTTTGGCAATGGAATACAATTTTGATCTAATAGTAGATCATTGGACAACGGTCAAGAATATCCTTAGTGAGGACTAAGGAGATGTTTCTCGATCATGGAGGTGATAAAAGAGTTCGTCGTAAAAGTTACATCGGTGCAAACTTTTACACTGATCCAGATGACTCTAAGTCTCAATCGGGATACATATTGAAAGTGGGAGCAATGAGCTAGAGTAGCTCCGTGCAGAGCATTGTAGACATAGAATATTTGCAGAATACATACGGCTCTGAATGTGACAGACCCGTTGACTAAACTTCTCTCACGAGCAAAACATGATCATACCTTAGTACTCTTTTGGGTGTTAAGCACATAGCAATGTGAACTAGATTATTGACTCTAGTAAACCCTTTGGGTGTTGATCACATGACGATGTGAACTATGGGTATTAATCATATACAGATGTGAATATTGGTGTTGAATCACATGTTGATGTGAACTAGATTATTGACTCTAGTGCAAGTGGGAGACTGAAGGAAATATGCCCTAGAGGCAATAATAAAGTTATTATTTATTTCCTTATATCACGATAAATGTTTACTATTCATGCTAGAATTGTATTAACCAGAAACATAATACATGTGTGAATACATAGACAAACATAGTGTCACTAGTATGCCTCTACTTGACTAGCTCGTTTATCAAAGATGGTTCTATTTCCTAGCCATGGACAAAAGAGTTGTCATTTGATTAATGGGATCACATCATTAGGAGAATGATGTGATTGACATGACCCATTCCGTTAGCTTAGCACACGATCGTTTAGTATGTTGTTGTTGCTTTCTTCATGACTTATACATGTTCCTATGACTATGAGATTATGCAACTCCCGTTTACTGGAGGAACACTTTGTGTGCTACCAAACGTCACAACGTAACTGGGTGATTATAAAGGTGCTCTACAGGTGTCTCCGAAGTTACATGTTGGGTTGGCGTATTTCGAGATTAGGATTTGTCACTCCGATTGTCGGAGAGGTATCTCTGGGCCCTCTCGGTAATACACATCACTATAAGCCTTGCAAGCATTGTAACTAATGAGTTAATTGCGGGATGATGTATTACGGAACGAGTAAAGAGACTTGCCGGTAACAAGATTGAACTAGGTATTGAGATACCGACAATCGAATCTCGGGCAAGTAACATAACGATGACAAAGGGAACAACGTATGTTGTTATGCGGTTTGACCGATAAAGATCTTCGTAGAATATGTGGGAGCCAATATGAGCATCCAGGTTCCGCTATTGGTTATTGACCAGAAACGTGTTTTGGTCATGTCTACATTGTTCTCGAACCCGTACGGTCCGCACGCTTAAGGTTTCAATGACAATTATATTATGAGTTTATGAGTTTTTATGTACCGAAGGAGTTCGGAGTCCCGGATGAGATCGGTGATATGATGAGGAGTCTCGAAATGGTCGAGACGTAAAGATCGATATATTGGACGACTATATTCGGACTTCGGAAAGGTTCCGAGTGATTTGGGTATTTTTCGGAGTACCGGAGAGTTACGGGAATTCGCCGGGGAGTATATGGGCCTTATTTGGCCATACGGGAATAGAGGAGAGAGGCCGAAAGGAAGGAGGCGCGCAGCCCCCCTCTGGTCCGAATTGGACAAGGGGTGCAGCCCCCTTTTCCTTCCTCCTCTCCCCCTCTTTCCTTCTCTCCTACTCCAACAAGGAAGGGGGGAGTCCTACTCCCGGTGGGAGGAGGACTCCTCCTGGCGCGCCCCTCCTGGCCGGCCGACCCCGTCCCACTGGATCCTTTATATACGGGGGCAGGGGGGCACCTCTAGAGAGAACAACAATTGATCCTTGAGATCTCTTATCCGTGTGCGGTGCCCCCCTCCACCATAGTCCTCGATAATATTGTAGCGGTGCTTAGGCGAAGCCCTGCGACGGTAGAACATCAAGATCGTCACCACGCCGTCGTGCTGACGGAACTCTTCCGCGACACTTTGCTGGATCGGAGTCCGGGGATCGTCATCGAGCTGAACGTGTGCTAGAACTCGGAGGTGCCGTAGTTTCGGTGCTTGATCGGTCGGGTCGTGAAGACGTACGACTACATCTACCACGTTGTTATAACTCTTCCGCTTTCGGTCTACGAGGGTACGTGGACACACTCTCCCCTCTCGTTGCTATGCATCACCATGATCTTGCGTGTGCGTAGGAATTTTTTTGAAATTACTACGTTCCCCAACATTCGCCCACTACTGCTCCTTTCGCTCGTTCGCCCGTGCCGTCGATGTCTTTCGCTGCAGTTTTCCCAGTTTGATTTTTCTTCTCCCTAATCTTTCATAGTACTTTGAAAACAATGGAAAAAGTTTATGAAATAGAAAAACAATCATGGATTTGAAAAAGTTTGAAAGGGTAGACTATAGACCGGCTCGCCATTGACCTTGATCTCTAACCAGATCTGTTGCCCGTTGACATTTTAGAAACAATTCACTGGTTTGAGAAAAAGTTCACAAATTTTTAAAAATTTCGTAAGTTTGAAGGAACTTCATGAGTTTGAAGAAAAGAAAATTTTGAAAAAATCTCATGCCTTGGAAAAGTTAATGAAATCACAAAGAAGTTCACAAATTTTAAAAGAATGCAAAAATGTAAAAGAAGTTCAAAAATTAAAAAAATCACAATTATTTATAAAAAGTTAATGAAATTTTGGAAAAGTCCTTGAATTTGAGAAAAGTTCACAAAATTTTGGGAAAATATATACAAATTTTTCAAAAGGTGACGAATTTCCTCTCCCTTTTTTCTTTGTCCTTTTCGACGCGCAGGTCAGAGAACAGATGATTGTTGGGCATCCATTCTCAGGTTATCCACTTCCATGATCTAGCTAAGAGCTAACTAACCATATGCTTCCAAACCTTGGCGGTCCATCAAGAAAGGGACATCAAAAAATATGGCAGATACTACCTTCCCCGCAAAAAGGAAAAAAAAAAGGACGATAGATGCTGCCTCACCTAGGCCCGCCCTGTTTTGTTCTTATCAACGAAAAGGTTTTTTTTTTCGTGCATGCTGACACAAGCAGCATTGCGTGGTAGGTAGTTTTGTTTTGTTTTCGCCCGGTATGGCCTCGTGTAGTTCATGTTCCGCGCATTTGTATGATCCCAAAATGTTTGATCTGATGCCATGAATCTTTCCAAAAGATTTGAGTGAGTTTGTTTTTTCTTGTATGAAATGTAGTGTCGGACAATAGGAAGACGATAATTCTAAAATAAACAATCAACGTAGAAAAAATAACAAACTACTTTAGCGATCTATATAAACGATCTTATAAGAGTTATAGAGGGAGTACTCATGTAATGTTCTCCTCACTTTCAATAGTTTTGCCACATAATCTGGCGTGCCGACTTGTAAAAATGCCAAGCATATTGGTGATTGGTGTGTGACATGGCTTTCTGGGAAGCGGTCCACGTTGGTGAATCCATGTGTGTGCAGCGTTTATCCCCCAATCGAAAGGAAATTACTTTATTCAGTTCATTCACATCAATGATTGAGTTACTTTGATTAGTTCACATCTACGTATGATTAGCATCAGGAAAGCACATAAAGAACTGGCCCTTGCATCACCCCAAGGGCCAAAACAAAGTCCACTGTCGCCATCAGCCCATCACAGGTGAGATGATTGGTTCATGGACAAACACTTGGCGAATATGCTTTGCATCAATCTTGTACAGTAGCTATCACCAAGCAAAAGCATGCGTCTCGGAAAGGTTTTCGATTATATATACATCAATCATGGCTTAGCCATGACATATGTTGGCGCTAGGATTAGGATAGTCTAGATAATGGACGCTACAACATCACAAGTTAGCATTCACAAAATTGCGCGGAACTGGCTGGCATTTGCGGAACTTAGATTCCTCCTATCTATGTATATGAGCAACTTAGACTCCTCATATCACGCTGTCCTGTTCTTGAATGAATGGTGTATATACAGTTAGTACAACACAATGCACACCAGACGCCGTTAGCTGCCAATTTGCCATCATGAATGGGACTCTTCAGTTGCCGGGTTGATTATCTGATGTCCATCCTGAAGCAACAGCCATCCTTAACATCCTCAGCATCCCAATTCTCAACGGCTGACGCAATCAGCAACCAACTTGTCACCATCAAGTACAAGCCTTGTGATGTTTAGTCTTCAACCGCGGTATTGAAAACAAAACTTGGGAACGCTGTTGTGACGTCCCTGATACACAGATTGGCAAGAAATCACTCATGTAAACACCGACGAAATGTTTTCAAAGAGAAGAAATGCCAATGTATTTCTGACTAGCTCTAAACATATGGAATGTAAGTTGCAGACGGTATTGACAATTATCTGATTGTAGTTTTCAGATTTTCAAACCTTAGATAGGGTAGAGTCATGTTCTTCAATAGTTTAGGATGGCGTAATACAAATTCCTTCCACTCTTCTTGGCAAATTTTTCCATCCCTATCGGTATCAGCATCCTCAAATGTCTGAAACCAATTCAAACTTACATCCATGTAAAATGGAAATAAATAACGAAAGAAGCCCAAGGAAATGATTGCGCACCTTGTCTAGGATGGCCTCAAGAAGGTCATGCGATAATTCCACATGAGATTCATTCAAAATGGCAATAACCATTTGCATCACCTAAGAAACAGGAGCACCAACAGATCACCCTGCTGAAGTAAAGGAACTACAGGTACAGACAGAAATACAACATCCATCTGAACTAACCTCCTCGCGCTCAATAAAGCCAGTCTGTCTCAAATCATAGAGCCTAAATGCAACTGAAAAAACTCAGAAGGAGAGCCCTAACTGTAAGTATATCTCAACATGTTCATGCAGAAGTCATAGTTTTTGCAAGAATAGTACTTACAGTTGATCTTGTCTTCCACAGGTGCCAATGGATGAAAGACACTGAGAGCATGAATAAACTCCTCAAACTCTATTACTCCATTTTTCTTCTCATCAAACAAATCAAAAACCTGAATCATATAGGACAATCTCAGTTGGATGCTATCTCACAAACCAAAATGCAATGTGAGCAATTCAGAATTCCGTGTATGACATGGTAAATAATGATCTTGAAGCACTTAAAAATAGCAAATTGAAGTTGTCAACGCTTACCCTATCAAGAAAAAGATTCTGCCCACTAGGAGTCTTGAATAATGCTAGCTGAAGTTCTTCCTAAATAACAATTCAACAGAAAAGACAGATAGGTCATTTTTTTATGCTTTGCTAGTTCAATCATAGATAGTATACGAATATAAAAGGGCATTGAAACTTTTCTAGGTACCCGCTTTCATCCCCGCACGTCATATGTGCACCCATAACAGATGGTTCATATGTGCATTATAAAACTAATTACTGTTCCTTTGCTGGTTCAAACTTCACACGGAATCCACACAACGTGCTGACCTGGAAATCTAATTGACGGTTCAATCATAGTATGCGAAAAGAATAGAAGAGGACAATTTCATCCCCGCACGTCATATGTGCACCCATAACAGATCGTTCATATGTGCACTATAAACTTAATTAATATTCTTTCACAGACTTGGACTTGCACATCAATCATCAACAAAGTAAGATGCAAAATTATTGCACCATTAGGTTAATAAATAACTTAGTCACGCCACAAGAATGAAGGTGACAAATCAAACATTCAGACATGTAAGCGCCACACAACACAACGTACTGACCTGGAAAAAATACAGGCCAATAATTCCGTGGGTCAAGCCAAATTTATTATTGCTCCCTCTATACAGCTCATATGACAGTGTCTCCTTAATCCATGTGCTGGGGAAAGAATCCATCACATGTGATGCAGCATTTTCAGATGGATCTATGAAGTAATCCGGATCTGAATCGCTAAGCCCAAACATTGCCGGTCATGTATCTCTGTCGAATTAGGACTGTGCACTAATTTGTTTCAGATTACAGAAGAAACAGAGGCGCTTTAGCTTTAGTGGGTACCTTGTGGATGAGGCCGTCGTTGATGATGGAGCAGCTGATCTTCTTGTAGAGCTCGAACAGCGCCTCCACCTCGTTCACCGAGACTTGATTCAGTCGGCAAGGAAAAGAAGACTCGTATCAAACGACATTGCAATAAGAAGTACTAAGATGAAATCGAGGGGGAAAAGAGATGGATGGTTTTCTATACAGCATCTGGACTCGTCGGCGAGGCGGGCGAGGTCGCGGAAGCTGAGGGAGGAGCAGCCCGGCGCGACGCGGCGGCGGAGGAGGTGGTGGTGGTGGTGGCTCCCCTTCTTGGCCGTGAGGAAGAAGGACGGGGCGGAGGGATCTCTGCGCGGGTGCGAGGAGGAGGAGGCCGAGGGAGGGGAGCAGATGCCGGCCAGGCAGTCGGTGAGCGCGAAGAAGACGAACTCGGCGATGGCGACGAAGGGCAGGACCACCGCGCAGAGCCGCTCCCCCACCGTCAGCGAGCTCCCCGACCTCTGCGCGCGGCGACCAGAATCAAACAAGTCAGAATTGCAGATTTGGATTTCGTCCAAGGAAGACAGAGGAAGAAGGCCAGAGCTAGCCAGCTGGGTGAGCCACCCACCAAGTCGCCGGAGGAGATGCGGGAGTTGAAGCGTGAGGCCATGGCGGCGCTCCTCCCCTCCCTCCCTGCCGCTGCCTCCACTTCTCTTCTAACGACTCGCCTGCGTGGTCGACGGCGGACCGTGTCTTTTTGGGGCGCGCACACGCTATTCAGAAGGGAAAAGAAATGGACTGCTCCTCTGCTTCGAGAAAGCGGCCCTGTTCCGTTCTTTCTTTAAGTGAAAAAAAAGAGAGAATGAGTCAGATGAAGATGATCTGCCTTGTCCACGTAACGTAGGTGGCATTCATCGACGGTCCCCCGTGGCGACAACAGATCCGATCCGCCATGATTTGCATCAGGGATGGAGTACTCCCTCCGTAAACTAATATAAGAGCGTTTAGAATACTACAATAATGATCTAAACGTTCTTATATTAGTTTACAGAAGGAGTACATCAGATCATCTCTAGCCAGCCAGATCCTGTATCGCAAATTCCCATTAAGGCTTGTTTGGTTCCAATAAATTACCTGACTTATAAGTTAGGTGACTTAAAACCAGTGATTTATAAGTCACGCCTGTTTGGTTGTCACCTGACTTATAAGTCACCTGACACACCTTTTCACATCAATCCATATCATGCAGGTTATGGGATCCACGAAAAAGGAGGCGATTTATAAGTTTTAAGTTGGGGTGGAGCAACTTATGACTTATAAGTTGAGGTGACTTATAAGTCAGGTCTGTTTGGCAAAATAAGTCATTTTTTTTCACTTTTCGACTTATAAGTTGGTGACTTATTTGGAACCAAACAGACCCTTAATACCGCGAAACGCATGGCAGAACAAATTTTTCAAAGAATAATGACATAGTTCTCACCAAAATTTAAACATAGTTCATCGCACAAACTTAAAATATACTAGATTTAAACCTACGCTAAACGACTCATCCTTCTTGACATGGAGATGATACTCCACCGTGGAGTTTCAGAGGACGAAGGCGAAGTGGTACTCCTCTTGGCCGCCTCGAGCGGCGCGGCGGTGCCGATTCTTCGTGCTCCGCCTTGCGGAGGCGCTTCGTGGTTGGCCAAAGAATGTAGTGGAGGCAGTCAGACTCCCTCCACGCCCTCCGGCCGCCGCTACGGGAGAGGGCGCCGTGCTCCCGCACCTGCATGCAGCGCCATTGATACATCCATTGTGCATCATGTTTTCCTACTGATATTTACAATATTTTTTATCATTATAACACTTTATAATTCAATTCTAATGTCTTTCCTCTCTTAATTTGCAAGATTTACATGAAGAGGAAGATTGCCGGCAGTTGAAATTTTAGACCTGGAAAATCTACATCAGAGATTGATGGGGAACCTTGCATGGAATTTCAAAAAAAATCTACGCACACGCAAGGATCTGCCCATGGAGATGCATACCAACGGGAGGGAGAGTGTGTCTACATACCCTGGTAGACCGTAACCGGAAGCGTTTCACAATGCGGTTGACGTAGTCGAACTTCTTCGTGCTTCAACTGATCAAGTACCAAACGCACGACACCTCCGCGTTCTGCACACGTTCAGCTCGGTGACGTTCCTCGCCTTCTTGATCCAGCAACACGTCGAGCTAGTAGATGAGTTCCGTCAGCACGACGGCGTGGTGACGGTGATGGTGAAGTGATCTCCGCGGGGTTTAGCCTAAGCACTACGAAAATATGACAGGGGGTGTAAACGATGGAGGGGGACGCCGCACATTGCTAACAATTGATATGTTTTATGTGTGGCGCCCCCCTTCATGTATATATAGGTGGGAGGGAGGGAGGAGCAGCTCTAGGGGGCACCCCAAGTAGGAGGAATCCTACTTGAGCTCCCTCCCAAGCCTGCGCCTCCCCCTG